CACACCACAGCTCCCTTGGGAGAGTGACGGGTCACTCTCATGTAACCCCGTTACATGTTCTTTCATGTTCCCCTCGCACGGAAGCGTAGAGGGTCCTTACTACCAAGCAAGGTACTTAATGTCCGGAAAGACTGCTGTCATTCCCGTCTTGTTCTTTCTTTAGCTTTTTCTCTCTTTAGATAGTTTAGTATATAGTATACGTTGCCCGTGATTCTATATCACTATATCATGTTTAGTATATAGTATACGTTGCGCGTGATTCTCCTGCTGAGTCGGCGATTTGTCGCTGATAATCAGTGTGACATTACAGAAACATATGCACGCTTTGCCATGTATTTAATGGAAGACAATAAAGTAATGCAAACACACTACAGAAACAGTGAATGAACGTTTTCAATTCATTATTATAAGAGGGAGAACAGTCACTTACTTGCCTACGATCCGACATAGATTGTTTTTAACAAAAGTAACTATCACAGGCGATAACTCTACGTGCGTCAGTACCTTTTCGCGGCCTGCTTTAGAATATCTCAGCTGCATAAATTTACCTATAACCACACGCAGGATACGTATAATGAATAAATGTGCGCCAACCTGGGTACGTTTTAACACTCTTACATGCAATTTTCCAAGCGTGATCCAAAGATGTGTTCACCACACCAAGCTGAACTCACGCCCGTTTATTTCCGATTGAGTGTTTGGTTGGTAGTCCAGCGACACAACTCATCGCTCTTTGAAAAGGACAAGAATCGATCGCATGTCAGCAATGGCGACCCAACGTGAGGAAGACATCAAGATGATGCTGGCCGCTCAGGTGCACATCGGAACGCGTAATGCTGACTCTAAGATGGCGGACTATATCTGGCGCCGTCGTAATGATGGCATTCACGTCATTAACGTAGGCAAGACATGGGAGAAGCTCATGCTTGCTGCCCGTGTGATTGTTGCTGTGGAGAACCCTGAGGATGTAATTGCCATCTCTGCTCGCCCTTACGGCCAGCGTGCGGTGCTCAAATTCGCCCAGCACACTGGATGTAATGCCATTGCTAGTCGCTTTACCCCTGGTACGTTCACCAACCAGATTACTAAGCAATTCCGCGAGCCGCGTCTGCTCATCATCACGGACCCGCGCACTGACTCGCAGGCCGTGCGTGAGTCTTCATTTGTCAATGTTCCTGTAATCGCGCTGTGTGATTCGGACTCTCCGTTGCAATTCGTCGATGTGGCTATTCCGGCTAACAACAAGGGAAAGCTTTCGATTGGTTTGCTCTACTGGCTGCTTGCTCGTGAGGTGCTGCGTTTGCGTGGCACTATCTCCCGTGCTCTCCCATGGGACGTGGCTGTAGACCTATTTCTATACCGCGACCCTGAGGAACTCAAGAAGGCCGAAGAAGCTCAGGCTATTGCTGGTGATGAAAGTCAAGCCCGCCCTGGATGGGGTGACGCTTCTCCGTCCCCGGTGGAGCCTGCCTTGTATGCTGCCGAGCCCTCTGTTCCTGCTGCCACTGCTGCTGAGTGGACTGCTACCGGCAACACTGAGTGGTCGAGTGAAGCTGGCGCTGCTTCGAACTGGAATGCCGCTGCTCCTGCTTCTGGCAGTGGATGGGAGTAAGCGTCTTTGGCGAGGCAATCATGATGTCAAGTCATTAGTTGTCAAGTCGTCAGTTTGCAGTGCTGCAACTCGACATTCTTTTCGCCGATGAATAGTGCTTGGAGCGTCTTTTGAGTGAAAGTGCCCCATGGTGCGCGAAAGTGGACGCATGGAATAGACGACGGTGTTATGCGATGGCACCTGGTTAATGCGACCTATAACTATCGCCTTCATGGAGATACATAAATTTTACAAGATGTATTCCAAAGACAGCTTTTGTGCGAAATATTCCATTCTTTTTTTTTGCATCCTTAAACGCTCTCAAAAATTACCATCTAAAAACTTATGTATCAAACTCCATCTTTACGAAAGTAGAAGATCCAGCTAACACCAAACTTAAGGCTTTTACCCAGTGGCTATCCTCGCCGCCTCGCACAAGAAAAACATGATGAGCGAGAACGTCTCGGTCGAATCGGGAGATTCTTCTGCTGCACAGGCGTCTCTTGCTACCGATACGTCTCCTGAGGTACAAGAGCATTCCACTCCAGTGGCATCATCTGTCCAACAGGTGGCTTCTGCTGCTCAGGCATCTTCGGCAGATCACAAACCTTGTGCGTCTGAAGAAGTACAAGTGCCTCTGGTAACAGAAGTGCCTGTAACAGCTGAGGTTGGTCAATCAGAGGGAAATGGTCATGCCTTAGAGACGCCTTCATCTATGAAGGTCTCATCTAAAGCACAGACATCCTTAGTAATTGAGGCATCTTTTGATAAAGAACCAATTGCAGCAGAGGCAGTGTCCTCTGCAAAGTCCAATACTGCTCTGAAGGCTCCTCTTACAGCTCAAGCCCCCCACGTGACAGAAATACCATCCGGTGTACCGGCACTTTCCGCAGGACAGGTGATTACAGTAGCAAAAGCGTCTTCTGCGGCTAAAGCAGCGTCGACACAAGCTTCGAATGTAAATGCAAAGGCAGCAACAGAGACGATGAAGGTTGATACAGCGCTTGCCGAGGAGACAGCCCTAAAATCCACGGTCAAACACAAGATGAGTAATAATAAGATTGCAGCTCCCCGCAAACGCCGAACACCAAGTCCCACAAAATCTAAAGAGGCAGAGGAAGACGAGACTGAGTCAGAGCCTGAGAAGCAGCCCAAGAAGCGCGCAAAGATAGTAAAAGGCACAAAGAAAAGATCTCAAACGCCTGGCCGCAGAAAAAAGATGACAGCCGATCCCCAAGACAACGCAGATGAGAAGCAAAGCACGGTGGAGAAAAAGGTGGAAGCGTTGAGTGATGAAATTAAGGGCAGATTTGGCCAGATTGTCTGGGCGAAAATGGGAGGGTATCCGTTTTGGCCTTGTATCATCACGGACCCACGTTTGCTGCCGAAGAAGCTTCAGGAAACGGCTTTGAAGACGCTTGGCACCAAGTATCTTGTTTTTTTCTACGTATCTAATAACTTTGCTCCCATTTCATTCAAAAAGATTGTACCGTGGGATGACACAAAGTTTGGATATCGTGAAGGCTATCCGGAAAAAGACTCGAAGGCCCCCAAGCGACGAGTAAAGCTTATGACGGCAATTGAAATTGCAGACGTATGTAGTTGGATGTGTGAACTGTCTATGGAAAAGTCAATTAATGTTGTGTCATTTGTTGTGATGCACAGAAAGAAGCTAAGTTACCAATTGAAGAGAGAGCAAATGGTATTTTGAAGCCTGTTAATAGAATAACGGATGTGGAATTCTTGCCTGATAAGATACCTCTATCTGTGAAGCGAAAACCTGGTAGACCTCCGAAAGCTAAGCCGGCGCTTAAGACAACGCCGAAAAAAACGCCAGCCAAGCGTTCATCTAAAGAAGAGGCCGAAGATATTGCTAAACTAAGTGGGAAAAAGGATGACGCGTCTGCTGTCACACAAGAAGAGGGAGAAGACGCAGATGTCGTGGTACCCACGCTGAGCAAAGAGGAGATCAAAGCAAAAGTAGCAAGCCGCAAGGCGCCGAAAAAGAAAGAAGCAGATGACATTGCTCACGTTCCGACCGCTAAGAAGGTTCCTAAAGTCTCGACAAAGCAAAGCAAAGCAAGCAATTCAGTTGAAATCGACAGCAAGCGAAAAAAAGAGATTGAGCTTGTGGTGCCCCAGAAGTCGGTAAAATCAGCTGATATTCGCGAAATGACCGAAGAAGCAGCCAAGAAGAAGCGTGATAATGGACCAAAACGAAAATCAAAGAAGGACAAGGGGAATTACAATGTTGGCGATCTTGCTGCATTTGCGAACAAGATGGTACGGCTACACGCAAACGAATCGTCGCGAAATAACGACGAGCTTGTCGGCATGATGCAGGAGCTGTTCAGTGAAGAACTCATGTATCGTTCGGACGTGGAACGATCAGGTCTGGCTGCAATCATTGCGCTTCTGCGCAAAAGTTTGAGTCCTACAGTCGGCCACACGGCAAGCGCGCTTCGAAAGCACATGATTAACATTCTGAACAACGACACAGATATAATTCGTTTGGGCAAAAAAGGAACTCAGGATACCGCGGCACACGCAAATAAGAAGCGGAAGACAGATAAGGGAAGCTTGGTGCTGCAGGAAGAGACGTTGAAGGTTGTTCCATCGAATGAGCTCAAGGAAGAATGTGCTGCAAAGTTAAGTGCCCCCTCAAATCCAAAGATCGTTTCATCTATGAAAAACACAGAAGCTCTGAAAGATGCAGAAGTTAAAATAACAAAGGAGAAGGTGCTTAATCATTTAGTCAAGAAAGAGGAAGCAGAAGTAGCTCCAGTGAAGGAGCCATTAGAGGCAGCTCTTGCGAAGGATGGAGCAGTGATCGGTGAGGAACTGGCTGAAAAGTTGAAAGAAACAACGGAGAAGCGATCAGCGTCGCCTGTCAAGACTGAAGTGGCTGCAGTAGGCGCGGTGAACGACCAAGTAGACTTGTTTTATACGTCAGAACACATGGAGAAGAATCGGACAATCTTTGTGGACATGCTGAGCAAGATTCTTGACCAAAACGGATCAAGACGTACTGATCTTGCTTCCGAAATTGAGGTAATTTCAAACCTTTTTGAGGTTTCATTCGAATAAGTCAGATCTGACACTGTTGTGTCTTAGGCCGCTTTGTATGAGCGCTTCAAAGAGAGCAATGGCGATTACTTGACTCAAGCGCGAATTATCATATTTGGTCTGAAGGAGAATATTTCCATGCGAAAAAGGCTCTTCTCTGGTGCTTTGCACTGCTTGGAGTTTGCGTACGCTGACGATGCGGTAAGTGCAGTCAATCAATGCAATGTACAATAGATTGGGCTGAGGCTTACGAGTACTATGTTACCAACAGTTTTTTAAAGCGTCTGAGTGATCAGACGCCTAAGACGAAAAATTTGTAGGAAGTAAATGTTCGCCGAGTTATAATATAGCGATCGTCAATCATCTCGTTTATTCTAAATGGATGGGGCTTTAAAATTTGTTCTGTAATATTATCAGTAAAGTATTCTCCTTATGGCGCGAGCTAATCTCTTGCTTAGTGCCGAGCTTGAACGTGCATTTGCTGATGCACAAAGCGGCAATCTCCGCTTTGTAAAGGTATTGATTAATGATGAGTCCTTTGAATTAAGTGCGGCTGGACCCGCGACATCAGAGCCTCGGTACGACGTGGCACAGCTAGTAGCGTCAAACTTGAATGCGGAGCAGGCAGCGTTTGTGCTGTTTTGCCCCGACACAAACGTGACAGCGTTGCGCTGGGTGCTATTGGCCTTTGTACCCGAGAACGTGAGCGTACGCGATCGCATGTTATACTCATCGTCGCGCGATTCGCTGAAGAAACAGCTGGGACTGAACTACTTTTCAGGCGAATTCCACGCCACGGACTTGGTAAATTGCTGAGTTATGATGTAAAAAAGACAATGATTAAAAGCATGCATGTTGCGCAGAGTGAAGTGACGTGGGAAAGCTTTATCGAGGCAAGAAAGAAGCAGGCGGCAAATGCACCACTGTCTGAGTCAGAACGGCTGCTTAAGGAGACAGCTTTGCTGGAGCGCGACACGAACGTCAAGTCCAGCGCCATGGGCGTCGTACCGTTTGGAATCACGCAAAATGTACGCGACAAGCTGAGGTTGCTTCAGGAAGAGAAGTTTGATTGGATTGCCATGGTAAGTCAAAAGTAGCATCGGAAGTCGAAGGAATACTCAATGTTCTGATTTTATAGAAACTGAGCGAAGATAATGAGAGAGTCGAGGTAGTTAAAAGTCTGGAAAACGTTGAGCTGATCGATGTGATCTCTACACTGGACCGTCGTACACCCAGCTTCGTGGCCTATCGTTATCGCGGATCTAAAGTGACATCAGCATTGCGTGCGTTGCGTTGGACCCGTTTTGAACACAAATATACTTTTGACATGCGTATTAATGATGTTGTAAAAGTTTTCATGTATGTGTGTCCAGAAGATTCTCCTGTTCGTTTGAAAATGATTTACTCGACGTGCAAGGCGACTGTACTCTCCGTCGCCATCGAAGAGCTCCACATCAAGTTTGACTATACGGTGAGAAGCTGCATTATAGGTGCGGAAAGTACTTTATTCAGTTGTTGTCACATGTACATTGTTAGATTGAGATAGATAATACTGCAAGCGCTATCGATGACATTCGATCTGAAGTGGCCCCATCACAAAATGAAGAAGAACAAAAGCCATGCGAGTTCGCTCGACCTGCCGCACCTGGTCGAGGTCGAGGCAGAGGCAGAGGTCGTGGTATTTCCGCCGCGCGCTAAGAGCGCTTACCAAACATCAAAATCTACAACACTTGATGTGTTGGCATACACGACGCGAATGGTTTTGTATTCAGCCTACTATTACAGACTCTAGCCTGATCATCTTTTCGTTAAGTCTGTCAACACTTGTGATGCAATTATCGCCTTCCTTTTTTCTTGCCTTTTTTTTTGCCTCCTCCAGTCGCTGGTGTTGCAGCTCCGGCTGCAGCCGCTAACTTCTTTCTAGCCTCCTCAGCCTCGTTCTCAAGCCGTACCTTGCGAGACTGTAGCTGAGGAATGAGCTCCGCCATCTTTATCATGAGTGACTTGCGATTTGGGATCTCAGGATTCTCTAGCGTGCCATCGTCACGCACAAGACGTACACGGATACGACCCACCACCATCCAGTCGCGCGGGTATTTTTTGGCCGGCTCAAGTACGTGCGGCAATCTAAGAAATGTACAAATCTCCGACATCTCATCAGCAATAGGGGTATCACACGCCTGTTCCTTGGAGATTCGACGACCCTGATGCAATGTTTTTTTAATATCAATGTAGTTCGGGTAGAATGTCGTGAAGGTTGATGTGGGGGTACCCTCTGCCAGTCCATACACGTGAATAATTTTATGCCGAGACGGTGCTGTAGTTGGTACCATCCCAGATATATCAGGCATACCGGGCATTCCCATAGGAGGCATACCCCCCATACCCTGCATCATTTCCATCATTTGAGACATATCCGGCATACCGCCGCTGCCACCGCTCATCAAACCCATGAGGTCTGCCGGATTAAATTGACTAGGATATGGGCGCGTACGACTAGGTGTTGATTGCGGCATCTGAATAGCATTTGAGTCATAGCGCTCACCCGCGACATTCTCTTTAAGGCGGCCCTTGCGCACCATATTACGTGGTGAGCACGTTTTGTGTAAACACTAAGGAATATTATAATCATTGTAATTTTGAGACTAAGTACTAACTGAAAAAGTATAACTTTTCAAGACCATGTTTAAGTGCGCACGTCGTCCCTTGGAAAAGAAAATAAACTTGCATAATGTTTTCTTCAAGCTTTGATTTTCCACCAGCGACATGGATCAAAGTCCGTGTACGTTGAATAGTGTCGTAGTGTTTCCGGACAACTCAAATGCCGACAAATAGCTCGGCCTAGCTCTTCTGCCACGTGGTGATACCCCTCATCGAGTTTCGAGATACCCACAAATCACAAAGTCTTCACGTCTAACAGTTTTTTTCACTGTATAATCGTGAGGTCCACGTTTTGTTGAGAGACTTGGCTGTGATCTTAGCCTGCTCCTTTCCACGCTTAGTAAGTCTCTTGTCTCGATCACAAACTCTAAAACTGATATTTTGGGTTTTTCAGTGACGGATAAAGTAAGACGAACCACTCCTCGATAAGTCTTTGAGCTCTTGTTTGGTGGATACAACTCAGATCGCAAAGATCTAGGAAACAATACGTTCCCCACTTCATTCGTACCATCTGTGATTTGATGCGGCTTGAGCGTTGGTCGACTCATGCATTTGTGAAGTAAATGTGGCTCTATCGGGACATGAGCGGCCACTTGGATGGACCACCACTTCAGAAATGCAAGCTTCCAGCGCACACTCCAGACAAAAAAATTATTTGCCGCCAAATGATAGCAACACTCAGGCGTCCCTTCACAAGATTTCTTTAATTTGACACGCACTGCTCTTCGTAATTCCAGTGCGGCAGGATGGTTGTCAAGCCCATACTATATATTCATCTTAAGATATTCGTATACAGTCTGGTGTTATTTTTCAAAACGGTCAATGCTGCGTTTTTCGTTCCGGGGGATGTCCCAGGCCCACCGGAGAAGGTTTTTGTGTATCGCGCAAGTGACACATCGATGCTTGTGCAATTTAACCCCCCTCTACACGTCAAGCCCGAAGGTGTGAATGGTGCACCTGTGCTTGGTTATAAAGTGGATGTTGCACGACGAGTCAACGAAGTGCAAACATTCTCGGTGGCAGCTGATGGTCTCATCCTTTCAGGTAGCTACAAAGTCACATTTAAGAGCAGTCGAAGCACCGAAACTACATCGTGCATTCCGTGGAATGCCAGTGAAGTGGATTTTGAAATGGCATTAGAGGAACTGCTTAATGTAGACAGCGTAATAGTCTCAAGATCAAGTTTCGGGGCTGTGAAGAACGGATTTGTGTACACGGTTACGTTTGACGGCGCATACCTTGTTAGTGGACGACAAGAGCATATTTTGGTCGGAGATACGACTGGATGTCAAGCTACTCAACCACCTAATCGGATATTGTCATTTGCGGGAGCTCACGTTACGACAGGTGTCGCTGGTTTTTTTCCAGAGGTGTGGGAGATTGTGTCGACAGAAAGCTCGGGAACGAAAATGCTAGGTGGAACTTTTGATGTATCGATCGGCTTTGAAGGACAATGGACCGACCCAATTCCCGTCGTGACTGGCACAGTGATGGCAGGATCGAGAGTTGTCGAGACGAGCGCGTCCATGTTGGGCCGTGTGAACCGAGGAGATAAAGTACGAATTGGACAATACATCTTTACCGTTCACGCTACCGCGCCGTTTACCGATTCGGAGCTACCATTGGATTCATATCATGTTGATGGAGCGGCCGGTGTAACAATTGAAGTATTCGATACGGCGCTAGGCAACGTCCAAGTGACAGAAACATCCAATTTAATTGTCACTTCAAGCGACTTCACTGGTAAAATAGAGACTGGAGAGCAGGTTCGGATCGGTTCAAGGGTCTTTGAAGTGACGAATGTGGCAACTGGGACGATGACACTAAGTTCTGCATGGATGGACGATACGACGCTGCACATCACTGCATATGCGCGAAAAAAGACGACGCTCAGTATGGATGTTGAGGCGACAGAGATGAAGCGTGCATTGGGAAGGCTACCTGGTATTGGCTCCATCGATGTATCACGGGTTGGCCCAACGAGATCAAACGGGTATCATTGGTATGTTACATTCCAGTCTCTTTATTCTGTGAGCCTTCGCGTCGACAAGAAGAAAGGCGCCACAGAATTTTTTGATGTGCATGGCGTTGCTTGTGCCACTTGCTCAGTGACAGCATCTGTTGTAAAAGATGAGACTCAAACAAATACTTTGGCTTCTATTATGGGTGAATATGATGCCGATGCAATTGTGGCCTCGCAAGAAGCTAGTGGACTGGCTTACGAGGTGCAGACAATTTCTACACAGGCATCTGCCGATGATTTGAATGGATATTTTGTAGTTAGTTTTCAGGGTGCGGGTGATGCTGTCATTTACTTTGACGATACTGCAGCTGACGTGCGAACCAAGCTTCAAAATTTGGCCACAATTGGGCAACTAAGCGTCACGCGAGCCGATTATCCAGATTACGGTGCGACTTGGTATATTACGTTTTTGTCAAATCTTGGCGATCTACCAGCACTTGTGATCTCTGACAAGAGCTATTTGAAAGGCACAGAAGCGAACGTTAATGTGCAAGAACTTGTGAAAGGCGTGGATGTCGCAGAAGAAACAATTATTAAAGGATTGCAACCGGGTCAAGATTACTATGTGCGTGCATTTGCTAGGAACGAAAACGGATACGGTGGAAGTACTACAGCCTTACAGCAACGCGGACGAGGCGCTCAACCACTATCAACGACCATAGCGACGGCTCCTGATCCACCGGGTATTAGCGGAATCTGGCGGCTATCCCACTCG